GCTGAGATCGAAAGAGGATGGATGAGTCGTAGGAACAAGACAGAATGGGAGGAATTCACCTGAAAAACTTTCCCTCAGGTTCCATCGCTCGATATCTATGTTGGTCAGTGTGGGAGACGAGCGTTAATCAAACAATGTGTAGAACGGAGACAGAAGTTGTAGATCTGTCCCAGGTCTCAGTCCTTGCCATTTCTCTCCCTTATCCATCCACACTCCTGCCCTGATCATCTCATCCAGGCGGATTGCTTGTAAATACCATCCGTATCCCAGCCGGTTCATCCACCTTGAATTCCAAGTCCACATATTCAGTTGTGCATGCGACACCTTTACTTGAAAGGCTAACTGGCAGCTGAAACCCGGAGTTCCGAAATTCAGTCTTCTCCATCTCAGTAAATGGTCTTCACTTTTCCAGGAATGCACATCGAAAACTCTGGAGTCTTTACTAATTCTTCTTTCTCACATCCCTACAGCCCTACTTGTCCACAAATTCTTTATTTTGAACTACATGCTGAAGTCAAGCTCTTTACACCCTCTGCTGCTACCACCTGATCCTACCACTTGGGTTAGGGCACTGGCCTCACACTCTCCACTCTTCTACACTGTTCTTAGCACAGCAGGCAAAGCGGGCCTTTCAGAACATGTCAGCTCACATCTCCTCCTCCACAGCCCTCCGAAGACTTCCTTCCTCGCTCTAAATCAAAGGCAAAGTCCTAGCGCACCAACACACCATCTTGCGTCTCTGACTTCCCCAACCCTGTTCTGTCCATGCCCTCTCGTCCCTTGCTCTCCCACACAGGGACTCCTGCTCATGCTGAAAGCCCCAGGACTGCTCTTGTCACAAGGTCTTTAACTTCCTAGCCCCTTGGGGAGTAGGCGGTCTCCAAGATGTCACACCGCCTTCCTTCTTCCTTGCCTCCCCAGGTCTCTCTTCACGTTACCTTCTCAGATAGTGTTTCCTCAAGATCCACTAAAATGCCAACATTTCCCCATCCTCTTACCCTGCTGGCATTCTTGATCTCATTTACCCGCCTTGCACATGTACATCACAACACTGTCACTGGCGTTCATAAAGACTCGCTTGTTCATGACCACTCTACTGCCACAGAAGCTCCATGAAGGCACAATCTTTGTCCTAGGTTCTCATGAATGTATTCCAGGCACCTGCCTACATGAGCGAACGGCACATGGTCTGTGCAAAATACGTATTTACTGGGTGAATTAATTCATCAAGATTGCCAAGAGAAGGTAGAAGGTACCTTGAAGACCCATGAGTGGTAAATTTGATAGTCACAAAAATTAAAGAGGACTTCCTGTTAGAACGCAAAGCTTTAGTTAAGTTCTGAGGAACAAAGAGGACCGATCCAGGAGGGGCAAGGAGGAGACATGACTATGGGTATTAAGGACCACAGGAACAAAATGCCCTGAGGTGGGAGGAAAATGCTTTGTATACACGTGAGGGTAGCCAAGGATGTCTAGGCAGCCAAGCGTCGAGAGAGGAAGGGATGAGGTGAAGAGCCAGGCTGGGTCCCTGCAGACTATGCTGAGGGGGCTATGCTAACAGCAGTGGAGGACCACTGACACTGAGCATGGGGTCACATGGACTTTACATGTGTTCTGGGGGTGTGGGGGTGTGCTGTGCTTTATAAGGCCTGCCCAGGCTACAGTGTAGAGACTGTACTGCAGACAGAGGAGGACAGAGGGAAGAACTCTTAAGGCAGCTCCTGACAGGTGAGCGTGACTCAGCCTGGCCTGGCGGGTGGTGCCCCGGGGCATTTGCACCTTCTCCCTTAGCTTCCACAGCTGGTCCCTGGCTCTCTACTTCACATTTGAGTTTCACGTCACTGGAGTCGATCCTCGCCTCCTTCTCTTAGCTGGGAGAATTCGAAATGAGAGCTTCACCCGGTGGTCTCTGCCACGCCTCCACCCGACACCCACTCCATCCACAACACACGTGCTTTCCCCGGCCTTTGTGTGCCCCATAGTACCTTACACCCTGGGGCTGAGTTCTGGGGAGGCGGAATTGCTGTGTGCTACTCATCTTGATAGCCCTGGGAGCTGGTACACTGAAGATATACAGTAATACTTGGGAATAAATGAGGAAGTAAATCAATTTCTGGTTTCCCAACACACAAAATTCATGAGATTCTAGTCGCTGCTCTGCAGACATCATGAATGGGGGGCGGGGAGGAGGCAGTAAAGACTTTTTCTGTATAAAGTATAGAAACAACGCATTAAGTCACCTATTAGGGGTCGGACGTATAGTTGAAGCTCAAATACATGACACGCAAACAGCTCAATAGTACATAAATATACCTAACGTTCCAATTATATGAAGATAAGTAACACATTTGGGAAGCAGACTGCATACATAATTTTGAACACAGCCTCTTAACTGACTGGAAGTCGGACACAGTGAACTGAACACTCATTCGTTAGAGAGCCTGACAAGCCCAAGAGCTTCCATGTGGCTCCCCCAACTCTGATTCAGTTCCCTAGGTCCCGAATCATGGAATCCAGCGGCAACTGCACAATCACGATAGTGTCTCCAGGAAGAACAATCTAATGCCCTTTACTGCCCCTCAGCTATCATGGGTATGACCTAACCTCTCTGGCTGTGTGGACGCGTATGTGTGCACAAACACACACACACACACACACAGTATGTACAGATCGATGGCTCCATCTACCACACACAAATACACATGCAGTAATTCTCTATCAATGTACAAAATTACAAATTATAAATATTTAAATAAGATATAAATAAAACTACAAGGCAACTCATGGAAAGGTAAGAAAAGTTCTTGAAGAATATAATGAATAAGAATGTGAGCTACCAATGTTTTATGAGGGATGATGGTATCGAAGTTTAAATAGTATCTTTTTTTTTTTTTTTTTTTTTTTTATAGAGGCATGCTTTATTTGTTTGCTGGTTTGTTTGTTTGTTTTGTTTATACATGCACTGGGTACAGTCAGAAGTGCGGGAGGGTGAGAGAATTCACCAGAGCCAGAGCAGGGAGCAGAGCAGGCAGAAGGACCGAAGTACACTGCTGAGGGGAGCAGCGGGCGGCAGGAGAGGTCTGCGCGCCATGTGGGACCCTCCTCCGGTGGCCGGGGAGCAGCCGGGGATCGAACCGCGCCGCAGAGGCCGAGCGCAGTTTCGCAACCCAGCGCTCAACCGCTGCGCCACCGGGGAGGCCCTAAATAGTATCTTTTAAATGTTGTTTTCTAACCTCTCAGCCAAACTTGCAGGTTTCCTAAAGGCATGAAATTTTAAATACAAAGTCACTTTTTCAAAATGCTTATAAGCAGAGGATTTTAATTCAAACCAGCCAATCAGATTTCCCTACCCTCTATTAGAGAAGTCATGTCATTCAATACTGTATTAGCAATGCTTTACAGTAGCTTCATGCACTATAAGAGTAGTTTTTTAAAGTACTGTCTTGGAAAGAGATCTGTACACTGCTTCCAATTTGTGAAATTACAACACCTGTTAACCGGAATGATTTTTGTCATAAGAAACACACTGTAAACAAAGCACAGACGTAGACTACGATGATAATTTAGTTGACATTTCATTATATATAAATACATTGAAAATAAGAAATATTGACTTAAAAAATAGTCCAAAAAATCTGAATTGCAAAGGAAACAAAGTTGGATTGTAAGTCATGATATTAGAATAAAAGATTAGAAATAAAATTTTCAAATAAGCAAAAATTGCATCTATAAGCTAGGCTACTTACGTAGTATATGCAAATAAAACTTAGTACTTGTGTTCATCTTTGTTTACTTTCAATAACATTTTTCTCTATAAAAAGAAACATAAACAATGGAAATATGATGGAGAATGGCTTCTTAGCATAAAACATGCAAATAAAAACAACTTTCACCAATAAATACACTTCAGTGTGATTTTGCACAAACCACATGAAATTATTACCTGGTTCATTGCCTAAATAACTTACATCTTCCCCTCCCTTTTTGGTTCATTCAAACTATTTGGAAGAGTCACAAGCTCATCGTTAAAGATAAAACTTCAAATATCTATGCCTTGGCATATTACCTGTGCAGTCCAGTTTTATATGTACATTTTGTTGTCCATGCCCAGATATCACAAGGTTGCTCAGCAACTCACCTGAAGAACGGCAGGGGATCCATGATTGTTCGTTATTCATGTGACTTAATCCTCCTTTCTCACCCCACGTGGTCACTTCTGCTGCCATGGCCCAGGAATGTTCTCTCTGTGATATCATACTATCAGAAATTTATAAAATCTGCGACAACCTTCCAATGTGGTGTTATTTTTGGCTGACAGAACCCCATCAATTGAAGTTTTGTGTTTGTGACTGTATTAATGATTTCCAAGATAGAAAAGTGGGGTCTACAGTTCTTGTATTTTATAAGACATCCAAAAAAGAACTAGACGTTTGTTCTAAGAAGCAGTATTATAAATACGGCAAAGCACACTCACCACCAGATAAGCAGCACATGGGTGGATCGCAGTATTTGGTAATAAAAAATGTAACACAGTAAAAATCTAATCTCAGAGAGCTGCGGGAGCTGCTGGAGAGAGCCCTGGGTTTTCCACGCCCACTAACTCTTCTGGCTGTCGGCATTATCAGGAAGATGGCTCCTGGGAAGCCTGTCTGTCACCGGCCCCGGAGAAGAAAGGAGACCTTGATACATCACTTCCTCTCTTTCCTCTCTTTCCGGTGACCTTGTAAAGCTTTCAACAAAAATATATCCTTCAGAAATGTGAAAAGAATGGTGTTTGTTTTCCCTTTCAACACAGAAAAGACAAAAATATATGAGGAAAAAACGAACAGAAGTGGTATATTTTATGAAAGGCATACACCGTATTCGTTCTGCTGACATCAGGGTAAACGCAGAATTATACATTTTTATCACCAACAAAATGAGATTTTCAAGTTCAGAGGCTCTTGACTTTAAAATCCTACAAACAAACATTTGTTCATGGAAAAATAGAGATATTTTGAATACTAAAGTCCTTTATTCAACAACACAGAAATTTCACAAAAACAACTTTACTGGGCAAATTGAATGTGTTTTTTTAAGTTTTTTTTTTTTTTTACAATTTTGTACATGCCCCATAAGTGATTTTCTTTAATAAATACACTGTTTTTCCAAAACTTTTTTTTTTTTATAATTGCACAAGCATACATACACCGTACACAAATACCTAGTAGAGAATGTAATAGATCTCCGCACAGCTCGGACAGGGGGACACAGTGACAGGAGCGCGTGGGCGCGTCTTCCAAATCGCCTCTGGCTTCCTCGCCCTCGTGGGAGTGGAAATCCCTCCTAACATAGTGGCTGTCTTTTATTCACTAGGATACAGATCTCAGTGTGAAACTGCCAAATTTAAAGAAAAACAGAAACAAAAAACGGGGAACATTCCGCTGTGGCGGGAGCCACGAGCTTGGCCCGGCCAGGTCTGGGGGTGCAGCCCCCACCGCGGGTCACGATCGCTCCCTCTTCTCCTTGAGCAGACACGATCAGCCCAAGACTTCACATGCTTTCGTACTGACTATGGTGCACAGGCCTGACTCTGAGGGAAGGGTAGGCCCTTTCTTTCGGTCGTTGTGGGTGTTGTTCATCACGACCCCGCCATCTCCTGCCCCCTAGAAATGTTGGCATTCGGGAGAAGGAAGACGGGTGCCGGATGTCAGCCAGCAGAGGCCCCTGCGCCATCTTCCCCTGGGGGAAGACATGCCTGCTTTCTCTCCCGAGCAGAGGGACATTCACCACTACTTTGGGACCATGCCTCCACCCACCCGTACACAAGTTGGGGCCTGTGTTCTAGACGTGCTAGGAGGCTGGGACTCGAGGGAGGTAGGCTCAGGTGCCCTGGGGGTGCTGGGTGCAGGTGCATGGGTGCAGGGCGCTGCCTGCGTCTCCCCAAGGGTGGCCCAGACTCCCCAGACGCCGACAGAGCGGAGGTCCCCTCGTCCGCACCCACCCAGTGTAGAGGCCTCTGAAGCGGGTCTGAGCTTGGCTGACCTGATACGTGATTTCTCAGTTGTATGGATATGGATAGTCCACACAATGCGCATTCTCGTCACTACATTCTGAATTTTCCTGGTATTGAATATGAAACATACATAAAAGTCACATTTCATTGGTATTTTAGACTCATGGAAATTGTAAACCTTTCAGATCATTCCCGTAGGGTCGCAATGATATGCTTTACAAGTTTCGGGTACCCGGACTGACAGGGAGGAGAAGTAGAGGGGGGCCAGACAGAAATATTTTTCTTCCACATCAGAGAACTTTATATGCACCCTACATCATATAAATAGAGCTACACCAAAAACATCTAAAAAGTGGGTGGTGTAAAAGAACAGTATCAGGAATAAACACGTAAGAGAATTAAAGAAAAGCAATACTTTTCCATTACGGTTATCGACAAATTTCCTTTCATTAAAAAACTGAATTGATATGTAAAGCACCACATTGTACAACATACAGATTAATTAGTTCTTTAAGAAAACAAGCAGAAACACACCGAGACCACCGCACCAGCCTGCGTTCTGGACTCCGTGCCCTGCCATGAGGTCTGGTTGGGGCCTGATGGTGCCTGAGTCCAAGTTCATTTCACTTCCATGACAGTCGTCATTTTCCAGAAAGCTAGAAGAGCTTACCCTTCAAGTGTGAACATGTTTCTTCTGATCTGTAATTAATTAGCAGGTGGATTTTAAGCAGCAAAGCAAAATAAACACGGAAGAGCGGCGCCCATGGCTCTCATTGGTCCCACAGCAGAAGGAGAAATTCTAACTAGAGCCCCTAGAAGGGCTACCCACTAAGTAGAATGCTGTCTCCAAATGGACCTACAGCACATCCGAGGGTGTGAGCAGCTAATTCCTGTCTCTAGACATGGACAGGCAATACCTGACCAATTTTCCTGACAAGGCCCATTTGGCCATAACTTGGACTTGGGGCTCATCAGTGCTCCAGGGAGAGAAGTAATGCAGGTTTTCCACGTTGGCTTTGAGGGGACTCACCCCCTCCTGTCATGCCCTCCACACATCTTAAAGACCTGTCATATTATTTCCCGCTCAAGTCTGCAACTAGCCTTTTAAAATTATTCCTTTGCTGATCTTTCTAAAATGTCCAGTGTTTTTCATCGCCCTTTTCCTTCTCAAGTTATTTTTCTCCATGTGATCCATTTTGGTAACATTTTCCTGGAGGCTAATGGGTGTCAGAGGCTAAGATAACTAATGGATAAAGGACAAGATGTTACTTTGTGTGTTTCTGCCAAACTCTGCTAGTCTCCTGAAGCTGAAAATGGTCTTTGCAGAAGGAAGAAAATTCTTAGTTATTGTGTCATCAGAAATCATATTTGTCCCATGGGACCACCGTAGAGACTGAGGCTGCCCTAAAAATACCTGGTCCTCCCAGAAATGAGCGCCGGCCCTGCGAAGCTCTGTGGCAGTGTTGGGGCTGTGTGGCCCTGCCTCCCGGGCAAGGAAAGCAAGGAAAACCCCTCTCAGAAATGAGAGGGGCGAAAGCAATGGAGCACCCTGGGAGGCTAGGAGGAAGAGATGGAAAAGCCTCACTTTTATGAATGTAGTTGATTCGCTTCTACTTAAAAATACACCCTGTCACGCCTTGATGCAGGGCACCTTCATGTAGTCAAATTTTAAGACAAAACTACCCTTGTTTAATATCATACATGGAATTAAAACATTTGGATACATTTGATATAGGGTTTATTTCCCTACCCAAAGAAAAAGCAAACCATCAACAAAAAATACCTACAGCTCATGTTGGGCTTGGAAAAGAAGTTAGTCATGGATTTCTTCCCCTAAGATAAGAGACTTCATCCTGTACCCTAGAAGACACCGCTTAAAAAAATCACACAACTGATCATCTGCATGTCCCAACTAGTCCGAGTTCTCCGCCTGACAGTGCGACCCCGGACCAACCAACCGCGCCAGCCAGCGTCGGAGCTGCATGCTCTGCACAGCGTCTGGGTGCGGAGCCTGGCAGGACACTACCCTACGACAGTGCTCCGTGTCCACCGAGGCGCTGGCAACACCGTCCCCTCTTACAGCAAGACGGTGGAGGGCCACTGCCGGACGCACCATCAGCCTTGAGTTTTGTCAGACTTGGCAGCGAGTCTCTGCGGGGAGGGGCGCAGCGCAACGCGCCACGGCTGTCGTTGCTTCTAGAAACAACTGGCAAAAAAATATTTAAAGCTAAAATTTATTGCTCCAGATTTAACTCGCAGAACCATACTGTGGTGTACAAACTGTTAATCTCCATAGATGCTCAGACGTGATTGTCTCCTTGTGTCCAAACACACAAAATACAAGCTGCTATCTGTACAGTTTACAGTACTGAAACACATATATTTGAAAATGAAGTATAGATATGTACTTTGCAAAGATACATGATTTTACAGCAGGGGTTTACCCAAACTTATTTTTTTTTTTACAGTCACTTTCAAAATAGACAACAACTTCACTAGGATAGCTAAATTACATCAAAGAAAGATTCAGTGTATCGAAATGAAATAGACCGGCCGATTCCCCACGCTCCCAGATTATCTTTAAAGGTCTTTTTTCTCTTTTCTTTTCCTTTTTTTTTTTTTTTTGAAGAAACCCCGATACATAAAATGAAAATAATATCTGGATATTTTCTTCAGTGGTGGACTAAGCAGTTTCTTAAAACAAGACACTAGTGTGCCCTTCACTTCCAAATGCCTTGAAAATAAGATAAACTACTGCTTTAAAAGAACCATCGGAATGCTTCGGCGCTGGGAACAGGCGTTCTCTATAAAAAAAAAGCAAGAAAACAAGTTAAGCTTTCTTTCTAGGCCAAGAGCAAGTTAGAGTTCTCTCCTTTACACTCGGCAACACTTTCAGGCAGCAATACACAATATAATGTTTTAATATTTGATTAGAAATACTTGATGTGAGAAGATCATAAAAAATATATTATTGGATTTAATGCTGATTTATTGAATGTAGCTATTAAAACACATTTATCTAAAGAAATATAGGAAACAGCATGGGATGCAGATAGCCACCACAGTAACTGAGGAAGCTTCAAGCTAGTAATCAATAGCAGGGAGACTGGCCAACAGGAGTACTTAAAATCTGTGTCTGCTGTCCATGTATGCTTCCTATGTGAGGCTGACGTTCGGAACTCAGTGAAGTCATTTCCTTATGCTGGAGAACTTCTTTTAGGGCCGGATAGTAACTATGATATCAGTGTCACCCTGTCACTCGTCAGTTACCAGAGCTACACATTCTCCCACATGCGCTAATGGGGACTAAACAAAATATGTCAGTATTTCAAAGTATGTCTTCACTTTCAACAAATTGAAATCCTATTTGTGAAAGGGATACTAACCAGTAATACTCAATGGCACTATTTTTTTAACCATAAAAATACTATGGTTTTCCAAAGAACTCATAGGCTAGCACCAAGAACGTAGGAGCAATCCTTTGAACAACATCTGTGAGCATTTCCTGTTAAGCAGTAGTTAGGCTACTGACTCTTCCGCCATAGGCTAACAGTCCAGTAGTTCACCATGCATATGTGTCATTGCAGAACAGAACCACAAGAGTCCACATGCAAGGGACAGGAGAACAAGCTAAGAGTGAACTTTCCTATAGGGGCAAACGGAAGAGAGTTGGTTTCATTCCTTCAACCTTTCAACAAGCCAGTGCAGACTGCAAGATGGCTGCTAAGAGTAAATGAGTATATCAATTGCTAAGCAGACTGTTACCAACATACTGGGTAAGTCCAGGACAACACACCCACCCACACACATGTGCACACACACGTACACACACATACCCCTTGTAAACATCTTAAGGTTGTTAGGAGGAGCGCTTAAATTTCCTCTATGTGAAAAATTCTACTACAAACACTTTAAAAATTGAGGATAGCTTTTATTTTCTTGCACATGGTGTATTTGGCTCACAGTCCTGTTGTAGTAACATCATCTAAAAAGAAAAGTGTATTAATTAAGATGTCAACTGAGATTTAAATAGCTAGCTGCTTTTCACTATCCTCACCAAAAATAATTTTTTAAAAAATTGTCCACAAGTCCCTATAATAAATTTCAAAGTGAATGTCTTAGAGTAAACTAAAGATATACTACAATTTATCTCATAAGTTTGCATACATATATATACACACACACATATATGTAAGTGTGGGCATATATATTTTCAGGTATACGCACACACGCCATACTTGCGAAATATTTTCTAAAAGCACAAAAGGTCCATTATCCCCATAAGCATAGCATTTATGAATATCTGAATCCTTACCCCTGATTATTTAGCTTTTTTCCTCTCCAGTTCACTATGCATACCTGAATCCCCAACATTTAGTGGATAAGAAAACAGACTTTATTTTCTAAAATTAATTTTTGAGTGACAAGCCTATCCCTTCTGTATGCTCTTTACATTTATTCAATCATTATTCAAGGGACCATATGAAATAACAGGAAACATAACAAATTCCTCTGATAGTTGTGTTTCTGCCATACACACACACACGCACTCACACTCACACTCACACATGGTCACACACAGAGACAGTCAATGACAACTCAGTGGTTGATACCAGATGCTAACTTGCTGCCTGACGCCAAATAAGTATAAATTTTATATAAGTGTGCATACTTATATAAATGTAGTCATTTTTAACAAGATAAGCTTGATCCAAGCATATTCATGCAATTACAGATTCACATATGAAAAATAAACATGTGCATATATATTCATATAGATTCGCATTTACATGTGTGGTGTGTGACACGGGGACGCCAACCGGCTCTCAGATGCCAATTGGAAACAAGACAGTGCGTATGTACTTCCATAATCTTGTATCTTGATAAACATATATGTTTATGAAGATAAACATAAAAAATACATGGAGTACATTTTTGTAGCGAGCTGAACCCCTTATGTTGCAGATACATGTTGAATTAAACCTCTTCCTGCTCTCAGCTCTTTGCTGGACCTCTCCACCGCTCCTTTATCTGCAGTGTTCAGGGACAGCAGGATGCGGAGGCCACCTGAGGCACAAGGCCAGCCATGCAGGAAATGGTCGGTTAGTTGCTCACTGCCCATGCGTGCTGCGAGGTGACCAGCTAAGGGGAACCTGAGAGAGGCATAGGGCTGCTTTCTGACACCAACACGGGAAGTCAGACACCCCCGTGTCTCCACACGGAGGGAGGGACCCACCTCTGCTTCAGGGGAAGGGAGGAGGCTGGGAAGCATCTTCTCGAAGTCATTTCTTTCTTCTATTAAGGAAGGTGAAGTGGTGAAGTATAAGAGTGATTAGTGGGAAAATAAGCTAAAATGTGAGAAAATTTAGCAAAGCCACAAGCTCCTTCCAGAGACAATGACCAAGTCACTCCCCGGAGTTCTGAGGGGAGCTTTCTCTAGCAGTTTTATGTCAGGGTTAAAAACCACAGAAGTACTGAGTGGCCTGCAGTCGCCTCCAGAGGGTGCACAGGCACCTGCCTGCCCTGTCGCAGCCAGTGGGCGCGCAACCTGGAAGGGCACGTCTGGTTGGGAGGCTGCCATGTCCTCAAGCGTGGAGGGCTGGTTCCTGATTCAGTCTCCACTCATCCGGGGACCTATCCTGTCTAGTTCTGTCAGCGCCTGAGGTGCACTCTGGAAGAGACTTCTGTTTCTGTGTTGCCAGGGCTAGGTGACTGGACCAGCTTCTTTCGGGTTCTATAAATGCCAGAGTCGCAGCTGGGAAATCACACTCCTGATGAGATTACAGTGACTTTCTGGATCTCCGTGATGCTAGCAGGAAATCGTTATCCTGAGTGACAGGAAAGCCAGATTCCCAGGAAGAGGGGGGCGGGAGGGGAGGCGCAGGCCAGACTGGCGCTGATCAGCATTGGTTAAGGCAGCCTTCGCTGCTGCTCATGCAAGGGCGAACACTCCCTCGCTGGAGGCAGCCTGGCTCCCTGGGGGCCAGGCCAGCCCTGCAGCCTGCCCTCTGCAAAGCCTGGTCTTCCAGAGAATTTGCCCCTACCTGCCAGATACAGCACGACCTTCAAGCAGAAAGGCATGCCTGCATTTCCCTCTGACGCTTGAAAAAGCACAGGTAGTTCCTTGAATGAAAGGATGACATCATCCAAGGTCAAGTGTATTTCCCACTTACTTTAAAAAAATACAAAAATTATGACTATCTCTGGCAGACATGTATTTCAGTTTGGTTTCTGTTAAATCAACAATGAGGATGAATCAAACAACCTAAAATAAGGATCCTGAAAGCCTCCCCCTGAAGAACATCAGCATAAGTGTCTCTTTCTTAGGGCCTCCTGAAAGTGATATGGCTGGGATAGCTTCAGGCACAGCAAGCACCTACACAGCTGTGCTCACTACGTCAGCTTCCAAAAAAACTCTTCTCCTAAAAGTGGAAGATGGGGTGCCCATGATCTCCACAAACACGAACGAGGCTATTCCTATCTAGGCAGAGCTAGCGAAATGCAGCGGAATTCACACCCCAAATAAGACTGACCGGCTTTAATCAAATGACACGTGAGTTTTCAAAGACCAAATTATGGTAACCTTCGATGCTAAAATGTACTTCAAAATAGACAGTTACAAACTGAGATAATGATTATGACCCAAGCAACCCTGTAACTCAAGGTGAATCTGTCTTTCCAATCCTCACACACAGACCTCGTAGCCCCCAGAGCTCCGTGCCCCACGCAGGCTGGGAGCCCCACTGTGAGTAGGGGGCACATACAAAGATTCCCAAGCTGAAGCCAATAGTTTGGGGACCATTATTCCTACGCTGAGCGAAAAACGATCCCCTGTTCTCCCCACACACATTATAAAGGAAATCCGAGTCATCCAATCGTTCCCTAACTCCCATGTCATGACGTGAAGCCTGCTTTCTCCATGTCTCTCTGAACTGCCCACAGCCCTGTGTGACCTTCCAAGATTCCGCCTCCCCAGGAGGGAAGACTCCTGGGCAGCTACGTCCTTGAAGCTGGCTGAGCCATCCCTGAATCTCCGTTTACCTCTTCACACCAGAAATTGAAAACCTTAGTGAAGCACTAAATTTTGCAATGGAAAGGATGAGACTAAATATGGACAAGATGACAAGGTTCCGTTTTCCGCCTGTAGATAGTCTATTACATTTTATTTTGGCTTCATCTGAAAAGTTCAAGCTCTGGGGCATTTTAGATGAACAAAAGCAAAAGGATTCTTGATGGTTGGGGGAAAACTACATTTTCCCCTGACTTGACTGGTAAGGATGTCAAAGTACCAAGCTATGTAGGCTGTCCAATGTTTTAATTGACAAAATTTCAAAACTTACTTGGACAAAGAGAAAATGGTAACACACATGCAACGCTGTTCATGTGAACACACAGGACATACATTAATATCAATCTTTGGATAATTAATAATTAAGGTCTAAAATGATACCTAGCTAATATGAAAACCTTCCCAAAATGTTTCTAGCAGAAAGATTTTTCTATATTCTACTTATGAATAATAAATTTAAAAATAATATTTCAGTAACTATAACAGAATTATTAGCAAGCATAGATACAGCACAGGTCAGTAAGTCTGGGAGAACAATTTACTGGGAAGGGATAATTTCACAGCCCAATAATTAACTTATAGAAAAATTTTAATCAATACCTCTACTTTAAAATACATGTTCATATGAGTATATACTATTTCTCCTTTTTAATGACATCTAACTTTCTCCTCTCCTGCTATAATATATGTGTCATATATGTCAAATCTCATAATCCAGATTCATTTATCAAGTAA